CGAAGAACTAAAGAGCCTCTTAACAAAAGTGAAAGAGGAGAGTGAAAACGTTGGCTTAAAAACTCAACATTCAGGAAACTAAGATCATGGCATCTGGTCCCATCACTTCATGGCAAACAGATAGGGAAACAATGGAAACAGTGGCTGATTTTATTTTCTTGGGCTCTAAAATCACTGCATATGGTGACTGCAGACATGAAATTAAAAGACACTTGCTCCTTGGAAGAAAAGTTATGACCAACCTAGACAGCATATTAAAAAGCAGAGACATTACTTTGCCAACAAAGGTCTGTCTAGTCAAAGCTATGGTTTTTTCCAGTAGTCATGTATGGATGTGAGAGTTGAAGTATAAAGAAAGCTGAGTGCCAAAGAATTGATGCTTTTGAACTGTGTTGTTGGAAAAGACTCTTGAGAGTCCCTTGGACTGCAAGGAGGTCCAATCAGTCCATCCTGAAGGAAATAAATCCTGAATACTCATTGAAAGGACTGATGCTGAAGCTGAAACTTCAATACTTTGGCCACCTGATGTGAAAAACCGACTCATCTGAAAAGACTCTGATGCTGGGAAAGACTGAACGTGGGAGGAGAAGGGGATGACAGAGGATGAGATGGCTGGATGGAATCACTGACTTGATGGACATGAGTTTGAGTAAACTCAGGGACTTGATGATGGACAGGGAAGTGTGGCGTGCTGCAGTACATGGTGTTGCAAAGAGTTGGACATGACCAAGCGACTGAACTGACACACCCAACATAGAGGCTTCAAAATATAAGGCAAATACTTCACTATATAAGGAAAATACTAACAGCCATAAAAAGAGAAACTGACAATAACACAATAATAGTGGGGGACTTTAAAGCCCCACTTTCAATGGACATATCATCCAGACAGAAAATCAATAAGGAAATATAGGCTTTAAATGATACATTGGACCAGTTGGATTTAATTGATATTCATCGAGCATTCCATATAAAAGCAGCATTTTTCTCAAGTGCACATGGAACATTCTCTAGGGCTGATCATATGCTGGGCTACAAAGTGACCCCCAGTAAATTTAAGAAAACTGAAACCATGTGAAACCTCTTTTCTAAACAATGCTATGAAATTAGAAATCAACTACAAGAAAAAAAACTGTTAAAAAAAAAAACCCACAAACACATGGAGGCTAAACAATATATGCTACTAAACAACCAATGAATCACTGAAGAAATCAAAGAGGAAATGAAAAAATACTTAGAGAAAAATGAAAATGAAAGCACTATAATCCAAAACCTAGAGGATGTAGCAAAAGCAGCAAAAAAAAAAAAAAAAAAAGTTTATAGCAATACAATCTTACCTCAGGAAATAAGAAAAACCACAAACAACCTAACCTCACACCTAAAGCTAGAGAACAAAATCCAAAGTTAGTAGAAGGAAATAAATCATAAAGATCAGAGCAGAGATAAATGAAAATAAGAGATTACTACAAATAACTATATGCTAATAAAATGGACAACCTAGAAGAAATAGAGAAAATCTTAGAAAGGGACAATCTCCCAAGACTGACTCAGGAAGAAACAGAAAATTTGAACCAGTCACAAGTACTGAGATTGAAACTCCCAAGAAACCAAAGTCCAGGATCAGATGGTGCACAGGCAAATTCTATCAAACATTTAGAGAATAGTTTCTGAAACTATTCCAAAAAAAAATCACAGAGAAAAGAACACTCACAAACTCATTATGAGGCTGCATCACCTGATAGCAAAACCAAAGATACCACAAAAAAGGAATTACAGGCCAATATCACTGATGAACACAGTCACAAAAATCCTCAACAAAACACCAGCAAATCAAGCCTAACAGTACATTAAAATGATCAAGGGGTATTTATCCCAGGGATGCAAGGACTTTTTAATATCTGCACATCAGTGTGATATACCACATGAACAAATTGAAGCATAAAAACCATATGATCATCTTAATAGTTGCAGAAAATGTTTCTGACAAAATTCAACACTCATTTATGATAAAAACTCTCCAGAAAGTGGGCAAAGAGGGAACATACCTCAACATAATAATAAGGCCATATATGACAAAGCTATAGGTAACATACTCAATGATGAAAAGCTGAAAGTGTTTCCTCTGAGATGAGGAGCAAGATAAGGATGTCCTCTCTTGCCACTTTTAATCAACATAATTTTGGAAGTCCTACCCACGGTAATCAGAGAAGAAAAAGATATAAAAAGAAATAAATGGAATTAAAATTGGAAAGGAAGTAAAACTGTCACTCTTTGCAGATGACATACTATACACTGAAAACCCTAAAGATCCTACCAGAAAACTACTAGAGTTCATTAATGAATTCAGTAAAGTAGCAGGATACAAAATAAATACACAGAAATCTGTTGCATTTCTATATACTAACAAAGAAAGATCAGAAAGGGAAATTAAACAACACCATTTACCATTATATCAGAAAGAATAAAATAGGAATAAACCTATCTAAGGAGGCAAAAGACCTGTACTCCAAAAATTATAAGACACTGATGAAAGAAAGTAAAGATGACACAGATGGAAGATATATCATGTTTTTACATTGGAAGAATAAATACTGTCAAAATAACTGTACTACTCAAGGCAAGCTACAGATTCAATGCAATCCATATCCAATTACCAATGATATTTTTCACAGAAATAGAATTAAAATTTAAAAAATTTGTATGGAGACACAACAAAAGACTCCGGATATCCAAAACAATTTTGAAAAAGAAAAACAGCTGGAGGAATTAGGCTCTCTGCCTTCAGACTATACTACAAAGCTACAGTAATCAAGACAGTATGGTACTGGCACAAAAACAGAAATATAGATCAGTGAAAGAGGATAGAAACCCCAGAAATAAATCCATGCACCTAAATGTCCATTGACAGAAGAATGGATAAAGAAGACTGATACATATATACCACGGAATATTACTCATCCATTCCATAATGAAATAATGCCATTTGCAGCAACTTGGATGGATCTGGATATTAGTCAGATGAAGACAAATATCGTATGATATTGCTTATATGTGGAATTAAAAAATGATACAAATGAATTTATTACAAAACAGAAACAGACTCACAGACTTAGAAAACAAACTTAAGGTTACTGAAGGGGAAAGGTGGGGGAGGGGCAGAATAAATTAGAAGTTTGAGATTTACATGCACACACTACTATATTTAAAATAGATAATCAACAAGGACTTATTGTATAACACAGGGTACTATGCTCAATACTCTGTAATAACCTAAATAGGAAAAGAATTTGAAAAAGGATACATGTATAACTGAATTACTTTGCTGAACACCTGAAACTAACACAATGTTGTTTTCAATTATACTCCAATATAAAATGAAGAAAAAAAGTGGATTAAAGACTTGAACTTAAGACCTGAAACCATAAAACTCCTAGAAGAAAGCATAAGTGGTAATTTCCTTGACAGTGGTCTTGGCAATTATTTTTTGGATTTCACACTAAACGCAAAGGCAACAAAAGCAAAAATAAACAAGTGGACTATATCAAACCAAAAGCTTCTGCATAGCAAAGGAAACCATCAACAAAACAAAAAGGAAATCTACCAAATGGGAGAAAATCTTTGCAAACTATATACCTGATAAGGGGTTAGTATTCAAAATCTATAAAGACCTCATACAACTCAATAGCAAAAACTAATCCAATGGAAAAATGAACAAAGCTCTGAACAGACAGCTTCCCAAAGAAGACATACAAGTGGTCAACAAAGACATGAAAACGTACTCAACATCAGGAATCATGAGGGAAATGCAAATAAAAAACTACAATGAGATACCACCTCATACCTGTTAGAATGCCTATCATCAAAGAGATCAGAAATAACCAATGTTGGTAAGGCTGTGGAGAAAAGGGAACCTCTGTGCATCACTGGTGGGAATGTAAACTGGTGCAGCCACTATGAAAAACAGTATGGAGGTTCCTTAAGAAATTAAAAATAGGACTACCACATGATCCAGCAATTATACTTCCAGATATTTATAGGAAAAGAATGAAAATACTCAAGGAGATATCTGCACCCCCATGTTCACTGTAGCATTTATTTACAATGGCCAAGGTAAGAAATGATGTGTGTCCATCAACAGATGAATGGATAAGGAAAAAAATGCATATATAGTGGAATATTATTCAACCATTAAAAAGAAGGAAATCTTGCTATTTGCAACAACATGGGTGGACCCTGAAGGTATTATGCTGAGTGAAAAAGGTCAGAAAGAGAAAAAAATAAGATGAATACTGCACAAATTTCAAGTAGTAAGTCATGGGGATATAACATACAGCATGGTGGCTTTAGTAAATAATACTGCATTGCATATTTAGAAGTTGCTGAGAAGAGTATACCTTAAAAGTTCTCATCACAAGAATAAAAAGGTTTTGTAACTATGCATGGTGACAAATGTTAACTAAACTTATTGTGATCAGCTCACAATATAAACAAACAGCAGATCACATTATACACCTGAAACTAGTATGTCAGTATTACCTCAATTTTTTAAAAAACCACTTAATGTCTGTCTAAGAGGGGACTCCCAGAGTCCCTCCCTCAGGAGAGTGTGTACTAACTGGGGAGTCTGAGGGAGCCTCCCCATCCTGAGAACCAGGGAGGAGGCCAGATAAGGACGGCTGGGTCTTCCGCAGGCTGGTCCCGGCAGTTAGCTGGCCTGTGCTGGCGGTGGGCGTGGGGTCAGACTCCTTCAGAAGTGTTTGGCAGAACCAAGGCAGGAGACCTAAAGCTCCCCACCCTCGCCGCCACCCGAGCGGCTGGGCTTGTTTCCTCTCCTGGAGTTGGTGTTGGTTTCCCTTGCGGTAAAGGGGAGGCAGCCTAGGAGAGCATGGAAACCCCTGCCCCCCACCCCCCTCAGCTCCCAGGCCTGGCACACACACTGCCCGGACAGGGTTCTTTCTCCCCTCACCCAGTCCTTCTGACTTTTGTTTCTCAGGCCTCACCTGAGAAAAAGAAAGATGGTTCTCTTGGACGCGGCTCTGTGGTTGCTGGGGGCCTGGCGTTCCAGGTGTGGCCTGAGGGCCTCCAGCAGTCCTGGGTGCAGCTTCTCAGCCTCGTCTAAAATGAACAGGGTCTGGCGACAGTGCTCCTGCATCCTCCTGATCTGGTCCGTCAGCTTCTCCTGCGCAGAATACGGGGAGCTGCTGGCGAGCAGTGGAAGGCACCTCCTGGCCCCGAGGGCCCTAGTCAGGCGCTGGTTTCCCCAGGGTGTCTACAATGGATCACCTGGACCTGGTTTCCACCACAGAACCACCAATCTAAACCTGTGGGGATGGAGCTAGGGCATCCTCCTTTAACAAGCCTCCCGGTGATTCTCCTGCACCCTGAGATTTAAAAGCCAACTAGTGGAGCCAGCCTGGGGAAACGGCCCTGGGAAATGGCCCCAGCCCTCTTCCTCCCCTCCCGGATGAGGTTCCATCCCAGAAGTAACTGCTAACTCACCCTCCCCAGGGGTAGAAGTCAGGCTGTCACACAGGGACGACTGCAGAGTCGCAGTAGAGGCAGGCTCAGGTGCCCAGAGGCAGCCCTGTCTTGGACTCCCAGGAGCAGAGAGCCCACCAGCTTCTTCCCTGGGATCTCAGTCCAGCCTGGTGCCCGAGGGACCCAACTCAAAACTGGGATTCACCACCCCAGGAAGGACAGTAAGCCCTGGACTGAAAAGATGCTGCTCTGCAGGGTTCCCCGGGAAAACACGGCCATGTCCTGCCCCGGGGAGAGGTGTTTTGTTTTTTTTTAATTAGTCAATTTTTAACTGTAGGATAATTGATTTACAGTATTGTGTTAGTTTCTACCAAACATGAATTAGCCATAGGTTTACCCACGTCCCCTCCCACTTGAAATTCCCTCCCACCTCCCTCCCCGAGGGAGAGGTGTTTGAGCAGAGCCCACAATCTCCATCTACCTCTAGCCTTCCTGGTTTTTGACTTCAGCCCCATCTCCCCAGTGTGTGGGTGTGTACGTGTCGATTTCCACAGTGGGGAAGCTGAGAGTCGCAGGTATTTTCCTGCAAAGCCAGCTAGCTCTTTCTCGGGAGGCCTGACCAGCAGCCTGCCCTGCCAGGCCACACTGAAACTGTCGGGTGACGGGCAATCTGCCCTCAAAGGCTTACATAATCTTCCCAGGTTAACACACTCCAAATATTGAAACTAAAAGCCAAAGATAGACACAGTCCCCTCTGTCAGGCTGCAGAGGGCTTTGGTCATTGCATGGCTAACATGTCTGAATGAATGAAACCCAAAATAGCAGAGCAGTGGAAACTTTTTGTATGTGATGAGTCCACCTGTTGGCATGAAGTGAGTACTTTTGGGAAGCCATGGAAAAATCACTTATGAGAAGCCTCTTTAAAAAAAATTGTGGAACATGCAACTTTCTGTCCAATATAATTATAAAGACATTAAAGAGCGCAGGGGAACAGCTTGAAGGAAGTACACCAAAATGCTAACTGGCTGTGTCCGTGTGGGGAGATTACGATAAAGCTTCTGCTTGCTCCGTTTCACACTTCCTGAGGCACTTCCACTACTTCTGTTGACAAATTAAACACATGGATTCTCTGATTAAGCTAAGTGCCCTCTTGGGCCTCACCTGTTGAGTAGCTGTCTCTGTGGGTAACAGGTTTCACTGCATCGTCCCCTCCACTCCGCTGTCCTCCAACCCCCATACCAAAGGCTGGCTTCAGCCTCCCTCCCAGCACACAGGCCTGTGTCTCGGCTGCCCAGCCTCCACCGGGCCCAAGCCCTCACCCTAGCTCCTCAGCACGGCCGGCCTCACCTCGTATAGGTCCACATTCTTGAGGTGAGGGAAGTGCAACGTGGAGATGAACATCTTGACACAGTTGCTCCTCAGCCCGTCCTGGTACAGGTTTTCCGCCAGCATCCGTGCCACGAAGTTCTTGCCTGTGCCAGACCAGCCGTGGAACGACAGAGCCAGGGCCTTGTCTGGCCGGGGCATCTCTAAGTAGCCCCTCACCGCTGTCAGGACCAGATCCCGGGCCAGGTGCTGGCCATGCAGGCGCACGCGCAGGTCCGCCTCGAGGCCTAGGGATGGGGAAGAGGCCACGCTGAGGAGGGCACACAGGTGCATCCCCCCAGGCTTGGTGATGGCCAAGAGACCGAACACCGCTGAGCACCTCTGAGGTGGGAGCCATCCTGTCTGGAGTCCTCATGACAAGAAGCCACTGGGCAGACCTTGCAGCGGAAGAGATTTGGTGCCACTTTCTGAAGAGTTTGAGAAATCCACATTGATTTCACCCTTTCTGAAGGTTCTGAAGACACTCCCCTACCAGGGTTGGCAGAGTCCTCTCTGGAGGAGGAAACCAGCCCCCCATTACCATGAAGTTGCTCCTGCCTGGAAGTTTCAGGACCCCCTAAATATTTTATGGAGTCCCCCTTATTTTATTCATTTCAATTCAATTCAGCCAACATCTACTGAAGCTTTGCAAAGGCAAAGCCCTCTGCCAAGGCCTTCCTTCCTTTCAGCCATGAGGGTGCAGAGTATGGGAGCCATGGTGGAGACAGGGAGGGTCTCTACCATGATGATAGCTATGGGCAGGCTGAGGTTGGGTCCCTACACCCTGGCGTTCTGAATTGCCTCCCCGCCCGCCCCTCCTCCCCCCACAGATTCCTGGCCCTGAGGGCCATGTGAGGTCTAACCTGTGAAGTTGTTGATGATCCTGCAGTCCCCTCTGTCGCAGCAGTCCCACAAGCTGCAGGACCACGTGCTCAAGATATCCAGGTACTGCTGGCCCAGCAGGGCAAGGCTCCAGCCTGGAAAAGGAGGAGCTGTGAGACAGGAATGGAGCCGGGCCCAGGGCGGGCTGAACACTGCCTCCCTTCAAACCACCAGAGCAGTTCTTCCGTCCTCTCTCCGGAACCACTCCCCACCGCTCTGCCCCGGGCCTTCCACTCATGGCACCTGGGAATAGACTCAGGTGGGAATCTCCAGTATGAGGAAGTTGATGGCCTTGCTATAGATGCATCTCTTGTTGCAGCAAAAGCTCAATTTACTCAACAATAAATCTTATTTTGTGCCAAAGTGTAAGTTACCCAGGCCCTGCCTGCAAGGAATTTGTGGTCTCCGAGGGAGACAAACAGTAACTGGTGATTGCCATGCTTCCTACTTGCTCTGGATTGCAGAATCATTTGATCACAGCCAACCCCAAGTGTCTCAGTTCTTTTGCTGCTGTTGTTCAGTCGCTACTGACCCCATGGACAGGAGCCAGCCAGGCTCCATTCTTCTATCAGATGTCAATTTGAATATACTGAGCATTAGCAAAAACGAAAAAAAAACAAACCATTCACTGGAATTTAGAACTTTTGATTTAGGGACTTCCCTTGGTGGTCCAGTGGTTAAGACTCTGTATTTCCAATGCAGGGAGCATAGGATGGATCCCTGGTTGGGGAACTAAGATCCCTCATGTCTGGAGGCCCTGCTCCCCTCCCCGCCAAAAAAGAACTTTTAATTTACATGAAAGATGTTTCTAGCACCACTGTAGGATTACCACCACAGAGCCTAGAGTTAAGGACATCCACTGCAAGGAGCCTCAGAGACCACCAGGGCCAGGACCTTTATGTGACAACCCTGCCTCAAAATTTATCAGTGACAGAGAATAAATCAGAAGTCAGGTTTGGGGGACTCGTAGCCCAGCTTCGGCTTCTGTAAGCAGCAGAGGAGGAGGACAAGGTACTTGAGGGGAGTGCCCAACTGGGGGTTTTCCTTAAAGTCATCAAGAATGTGAGCAAGAGCAGCTCCTTGGAATAATGACAGGGCAAGTTCGGAGACAGCAGGGAAGTGTAAGCCGTGTCTGGAGGAGCCAGGACCGCTCGTCTGCAGAAGGACGCAGTGAGCCAGCGCTGGGGGCGGCGGCGGCGGCGGCAGCAGTGATGAGGGTTCCCGGTTCCGCAGAGGCTGCCCTGCTTTTAGCTCGGCCAAAAGGCTGGGCGGAACAGCAGAGCCGGCGGCTAAGGCGCTTGTCTGGTGACCCCGATCGCGACGGCTCAAGACGGGCACGAGGCTCTGAACGCCGCGTCTGGATCCCAGCGGGCCTCGCGCATCCCGCCTGCCCGCTCCCGCCCTTCTGAGCCCCACGGTCTTACCCGGGGACCGCGCCGACGGCCCCTCATCCTCCCCACAGTCCTGAGGCCAAACGCGGCAGCTGAAGCGAGTCCAGTAGTGTCTGGAAAGCGCGCCGGCCGCCCTCAGTCGCTCCCGCAGGCCCTGAAAGGCCAGCCAAGCCCTGGCCGAGCCCGCCTCCTCGGTCCCCTTCCTCGGCCTCGCCTGGTCGCCGTATCCCCACGCACTCGGGGGCGGCAGCAGCAACAGAAGCAGGAGCCAGAGCAGACGCTCTGTGCCCCCAAGCATGGCCAGGCCGGCAGCAGATCCCTCCGCCGCTGGGCCTTCCCGGCCCTTTCAGGGTCCGGGCCTGAGGGCGGGCGCCGGCACTTCCGAGGCCCGGATTGGCCAGGGATTGGCGTTGCTATGGGAACCGCAGGCGGGCCGAGCTCGTTTCCCTGGTGACCCAGAGCGACCCCGGTTCCCGCCGGAACCGAAACCGAATGGTTCTTGAGACTGCAACCCGAGGCCACTTGCAGGCGCCGCCCAGCCGACTGGGGCCTCGCTGCCCGGCAGCAGTCTATTCTGGGTGATCGTGGTTGCAAAGTTGAAGTCAGGCCTAGAAATGGCCACTGTCAATCACCCAGTTACTTTCGTTCGGCTCCGGTGGCCCACCTGAGGGCTACGAAATACGGGTACCCACTAGTGCCCTGTCGGGTGTCTGCAGATCAACTTCCTACCAACCTGTTAGATGAAACCGGGCAACCATCTCACCGGGAGCTTGATTTAGCCAGGGGAAGTCAGCCTTGGGCCTGGCTTCGCTACTGAGGGAAATGAAACAGCAGCAAGCCATCAGCAGGTTTCCACAGCTGGGGAAGCTAATGGGCTCGGACTGGAGATATTTCGATTTTGGAAACTCCCCGAGAATTATGGGAAAATCACGAGGTCTCACGTCAATGTAATCACAGCCTGTTGAAAACAAGCTAGGCTGAGTATTGGATGCACTTTCTGGGCTTAAATTTGCAACTTTGAAATGCTTGTGACTGAACAGCTTCTCAAGACACCGCTGGCAGAAAACCTCTGGGCCTCTTTTCTCCATAACATGAGCATGTAATAAGCTTGCTAGATTTCCCAAGTACTTACTGCATTTTTTTTCAAAGATCACCTGAGTTATTGAAGCCACTGACCTAAGAGCCATCTTGTCCTAGGAAGAAATTGGTGAATTCATGCTGATAAAATGACTAGTATTTACCCTGGTTTCTTAAAAAAAAATTCAAGTTTTAAGACTGTGGAAATAATTCTCTACTGGTAACTTTCATGGAGGGTTAACTGATAATATTTGAGATTGGATTTTGATTTTACATTTCACAGTATAAATAAAGCAGGTCGCTTGAAAGTTCTTGGATAATTTGATTTCAAGACATCTTTTCCCTAAAAGACTCAACTTTTTTTTTCAACCAAAGTCAGTCTCAGGTAGAAACAATGACTCCAAACACCAGTTCGCAGATAAGCCTCTATTTTCAGTAAATTTGCTATTTCATTCTCAGGGCTTGGAGACCCCTGGTTGTAAAGCTAGGAGCAACATCTCATGGATGATGGAGACCTCTAGTGGCTCTGGTGAAAACTACAGGCAGCTGTGTTTCCTTACCAAGCAAACTCAATCCTACTCTAGAATAGCCCAAGAACCACTGGCTTTGGCACCGCCCTGACGCTTGTTAGAAATGCAAACTCAGGCCCCAAACCTACTCAATCAGAATATGCATTTTAGCAAAGACTTTCAAAGGGCAAATGGGCACATAGCACCTTTACTAAGTTCATCTGGATGAAACCTAGCTTTGCAATAGACAACCTCCCCACCTGCTGCCTGCCGTCAAGAGTAATATCTGCCTTGAAAACAGTCTTTACAACTGTTTACTTCATTCTCTTATTTCCTGGGACTTATAAAGCAGCTTATCTTACAAAACTCACCCATGCTAAATCAGTGGTTATGACCATACTTGTCTCTATTTTATAGAATGAGAGCTGCTAAAAATCGTTTTTATAAGAAATACACTGGGTAAAAATAAGCCCATAATATTAACAGAACCATTCCCTCGCTGCTCCCAACTGCCTTTTTAGGCTTCAATACTGGTCTTTCTGGAATGCTTGAGAAGAAAACTAAGCCTGAAATCTCACCTAGAAAAGGATCGTATAAGGTGAGTCTGTGAGGAACATGTTCTAGGCTTCAGCCTCCCTTTTGTATTCAAGCGCAAGTGACTAAAACTGGCACAAACGAAAGTGCTACAAATCAAGTCAAAATCTTGAGAACTCTCCTCAGTTGTCTGGGTGAGGTTTATGATGTTGCATTTCCGCTGCAAAATTTAAAAGTCTGGGTGTCCCAAGAATCATTCTCAGGACCTGGTCTTGTCTTCTAGGCCTCTATGGTAATGTGCTGACAAGTTCTTTGGGATTCATAATTCTTTGAAGAAGCTGCGAGAAAGAAGTAATAAATAAAAAGCACCTAAGAGTTATCCTACTGAAAATCTTGGTTCTGTCACAACCTAATAGGCAACTTCTGAAGACTAATGAGAAGTGTAAAGGTCTTATCTGCCATTGATTCTGTGAAACAACCCCTGTGGAAGTTTATGCAGATGCAGAAGATGTAATCTTCTGTCCCCGAACAAAAAGGGAAATCTGAATTGAAAACAACAGAAATACCCTGAACCAGCAGGCGGGGTGGGGGGATAACAAGAGGAAAAGATGATACGTTGGTACTTATTAAAATCTTTATTGTCTTTTTTTCAGAATTGAAACTCATAGAACACATTAGAAATTTAGGTGCATATCTGTCTTGTTTGATGTCTTACCAAGCACAACCTCTATTTGTGCAAGAGCTCTGAGAGGAAATCCTTGGCAGATCAGAACCGAGGGTCGTGGTTCTTACACCTCCCTCTTAAGCAAATAAATTACTTCCTGGTAAGTAATTCCCAGATTCCCCCCCTAAACATTTTGTATTTTTGAGTAACACCTTAGTTCCTTAAAAACCTGTGGCAGTATAGTATCCAGCCCCCACCTTTTCAACCCAGACTTGAGGAGTGGAGGGCAGGAAAACTGGCCCTCCCCTGCTGCAGAGCCGTCTCTCGAGGCTGGTCCATCTGCCTCGGGCACGGCCCTGGCTAGCACAGTAGGTGTTTCCTGAAGGGTTGGTCTTTATGTCACTGAGGTTCACGCTCAGAGACTGAGAACCTTTTACTAGCTTCAGGTTCTTCAGCAACATAAGTCAGTGTTTCCCTGTGTGAAAATAAATATTTTTTTTCTTGTTAGAATACATATATGACTATATACATACATATACCTTGACTCATGTTTCCTGAAGCCCAAGCTCACAAAACGACAGATGCTGTTTACCATTATTTGAGGAGTGGTCATGGACTGGTCAAACAAGAATATGGAAGCCGTGGAGAAGAGAGGGTGAAGGAACATGGTGGATAGGAGGGGAAGGCCAAAAGCCTCTTTTTTGTTTTTTTTTTTTAAGAAAAGAAAAGATGGATTTCTTTGGAAGAACATGTGGCTTTCAGGTGATACTGAAATTTTGCCATATAGAGGACTCATCTTTCCCAAAACAATATACAATGGATGTACCTGAATTCTCCCATTTCCTTATTACATTTCATTTGACTTATTAATCCTGAGAGCAAATACGGAGAAATGCATTATTAATATATTATTAAGCAATACTCTGAGCAAGTCAGATCCTATTAATTTGTTTTGCACAGAAAATTATTTACCCCAAACTAATAATACAGCTTCATATTAAAGAACAATTTTAGAATGAAACCTCTATACCCATATTCCCCCAAACTCTGGAATAAATGTATTTAAAAAGTAGGAGGAGTGCAGAAATGCTACCCAGTTCTGATTTTCTTAGTTTTAGAATAGTGAAATGTATCCATGTCTATCTTTAGATGTTAGCTAGGCATACCCAACTTAAGACTAACCAAAAACCCTTCCAATGACCTGATTATAACAACCCTCAAATCTAAAAGATAAACCATAAAAAGGACAGTGTTACAAAACTTTAAAAAACAATATCTACCTCTTCTTTTGAATCAGAATATAGTGTTTATGAACTTTAGGACTAAGAGCTTATGGTTGGTTTTCTCCGAGATTTACCTAAACACACTTTTCCCAGCTTAATCCAATATTGATTTAGAACATAAATTTATATTCTAAGCATCAGTTTATACCACTCTCTTAGCACAATTCTAACTTTAACCACTATACATCTGAACACCTTTTAAGATCATATTAAAATAGGGAAGGAGAATGAAGCAGTGTTTGGAAAAAATAATAACATGTTTTCAAAGCAGCCTTCCCTCCTCCATTTTTCCTCAACGGAATCTTCTGCCTTCAGCATTATGAATAAAGTTCCCGAGTTTGAGAACAGTTCTTACTCATTCCACTGGGGCATACCAAAGAACAATATCATGTGTTTGAAAGAATTAGTTCAACTAACATTTACCAAGCAAAGCAACACTGACTACCTTCTTACTGGCTCCCTGATGCTTTGAGGTGAGCACCATCCAAGGTATTCTGAAGCTCAAATGTGTACTTCCCTGGATGCACACAGTACATGAGTTTAAAACTGGAATCAGTGCCTCCTCCTGTTAACACTAGCTCAGTGTTTTGTGCTGATATATCTTCTTAAATCCAAAACCATTCTGTGTACATCTTCAAATGTACAAACTAAGCACAAAAGTATCCTAATTTCATGTTACTTTAAAGTAGTTACTGGGTACTCAGTTGACTTTCAATCTGAGAAAATTGGAGCATAAATTCTAAACTGTTTTTGAAAGGGTGATAACCGAAAATTGATCTCCAGTGGCTGGCAGTAAATTTGTTCAACCACATTGTTTAAATATTAGTCTTTGCTTCACAGAAGTCAAAACCGGAAGAGTCCCTAGACAAAATGCAGGAGAGAAGCTTCCAGCTCTGAGGAAGCTGGAATCCACACAAGTGGATTCACCAGGCCAGCTCTCCTCGCCCTATATTTTAATGCAACTGGTTACATGTCAAAATCACTTTGCCAGAACACACAACTAAGCCTGTTTTAGCAACCTGATATTTGAAAGTGCTAATAGAAGGCAGAAGAACAATACTACCTTGTGGGTTCAGAACAAGATTAAATGATGAAAATAGGGTATGACATAAATAAAAATCTTAAGGCTCTTCCTGGTAACCACCTTAATTTTAAGGCTCAGAAGGCTTAAAACCTTTGTTTCTGGCCTTCTGCGTGGCCCAAATCACTAGACAGGTCCAGCAACCAGCAGGATGTGAACTATTAGCTATAGAAGTGAGCTGGCTTTTCTCCTA